CACCCTTCATCATGATAATGGACTAAACTTCTGAAATTGCAAGCCACCCCCAATTAAATGTTTTCCTTTATTAGAGTGGCCATGGTCATCATGTCTCTTCACAGAAATATAAACACTAAAAAATAGCATCCAAAAACAAATGTCTATTATCTTCAGTTGAAAATGTTTTGGTGGATATCAAAATAACCGTAAAATGACTTTATTTTTGCTAAATGGGTCTAAAACCATTCTGCTTCATTTCTGCCTTTTTCTTGCTTCTTTGGCTAATCTTGATGTTTTGTTTGTCACACACTGAGTTTTGTAAGGAGTGTAACAAAAGATGGAGATCTACACATTGTGACAAAGGGTACAGTTGTACACACTAACAAAATGCACAGCTCTGCACATGGTAACAGAAGTAGAGATCTGCACAACCTTCGCGCCATCAGGAAAGATGAATCAGGCATTAGAGAACCACTCCAACGAAGCCAGATCCTGCCTTATACCCAGAAAACAAATGATTTTCAGTTAAACATAGCTTGTCATTTGTGGTTATAGAAAACAATAATTAAATTCTGTGCTCCGGGAAACAGGAAATGGTGAATGAGCCAAATACATAAAAGCCTGAACAGTGCCTGATCATTTAGGCTGTAGGTCAGCATTCCTTATGACAGTCATGTCTTTTGTTACAGGAATGCAAATGGAACTGAATGCACTTATGTGTTTTAGGGGTAATGTGAAATAAAAAGAAAAAAAAAAAAAAACTCAACCCCACAGACTTTCCTGTATGAAGCAAGTCAGCAGCATCCGTGAACGTTCGGTAAAACAACTGGAAAGACTTCTCCAGCTCACTTCCTGTTCATATTATTTTTGTGTGAAGCAAAATATAATCAAAGCAGCAAGGAAGTAAACAGAGCATAGCCTGCAAAGGCTGGCAGCAAGGGAAATAAACTGAGCACAGCCTGCAAAGCTGCCTGGCTCTGTCCCTACCTCTACCTCATCTCCCTCTGCTCCATCTCCACTGGGACCATTCAACCCTGTCCTTGCATGAGGCTCTTCATGCACCTTTCACAATGTGGCTCCTTTAGGTTTGACCATTCACTAAGTAACTCCTGATTCCCCTTTTAGGTTTAACTAAATTGCATGTCTCTTGAGAGAATGCATTTTAGAGACTTTCACTCCTAAAAAACTGTTTGCCATGATTCCCTTAACTAAGCAGAGATTATTTTTGTTCCCACATCAAGGACCCTGATGGTTCAGATCCATGGGAACTAGCAAAGTCCTGAAGGCTCAGGGAGTAGTGAAACCTCCCTCTGGTCCAAGCATGAGAATTTACAAAAGTTTGACCAGTGTGTACAAAAACTAGCAACTGTAGCTTCCTTCTCTTGGATGGCTGCAGCTTGAGACTGCTCCCTTACACATACCCTCTGAATCCTTCTTTTAGTGTAAAATATAATAAACATGCTGAGGTTTCAAGTTGTTGTGCACAGTTCATCCTGATCCATCAGAGAGAGCACAGCCCACCTAATCCCAGACTTTCTATACCTTTATATGCTCATCATCCTATACTGATTTCCAGAACCAAGCCATTCAGGACATGACCTAATCCTTTAGGGTTTATATTTACTATTATGTACTGTATTATTATCCAATTTGACAGCAAGCTCCTTAAGAGTCACACCTGCTTCGCCAATGGTTTAGTTGTAGTGGACATTGACTATCTTGTAAGTCAGTGAATTAAGTAACAAATGAAAGGCTAATCACATCTCCTACTCACACATCCCTTACTACATTTAGGATAGTATACATATTTTCAACATTTTCTGAGAGCTATAAAGAAATGACTGAGGACTGATCTTAGTGAATGTCCTTCTGATTGGGAGAGGATACCTGAGAAAAACCTTAAGGGTGTAAGATTTATTTTGGTTCATATGTCAAGGTACACTGAAGTGGTGGTGAGGAAATTATGATGGCAAAAAAGGAGGCTAGCTAAATAGTCTCAAGAGTCAGGAAGCCACGGGTGGTACTAACTAAAACTCTCCGAGCCCACCAATCAGTCTCCTACTTCTCCCATATTCTCAAGACAGTGATCCAAACCTAGCAAGCAAATATTTAAAGAAATGAGACCGCAGGGAACATATGTCAGGCAAACATTCCACTTTTGCCCCTGATACATTCATGCCCATTCAGTACAACTTCAAATTCCTCAACAGTTTCAAAAGTCCAAAGTCTCTTTGGAGACTCAAGGCTGTCTATACTTTTTCCCTTCATTTTCCCACCCTTCCAGGAAAAAAAAAAAATGCCTGTAAGCTGCTTACAGAATTCTAGGCTTCACTAGGCCACAGATCCACAGGCTTTCAGATTCTTCCTGAAGTCTAGTTGCAAAAGCCCACAAGCTAATCCAGTGCAGCAACTACCATCACAATCAGAGCAGCAACCCTACACCTCAGTGTTACATGCTTGTATTGCAACAGAATAGGTGACATAGGCAACCTCAGAAAGGACAGTTGGTTTTGTCCCCTGCCTGAGCCATTACAGTGTATCCCTGCTGAAGGTACAGTGGAGTGTGGGACAGCTCCTGCTTGTAGTAGCAGAAACTTGAGGTTGCTTGCTTCATCTCTATCAATCAGAAAACAGAGCTTATACCAAAGTGCAGTCACATAATGACTCTCAACCCTGTGATCAGTGACCTACTTGCTACCAGACCTCACCTCTTACAGGTTCCACAAACTTTTCAAACAAATGCCAGTGGGGTGCCAAGTGTTCAAACACAGCAACATAGTAGGTGCCTTTTTTCCCCCACATTCCAACCCACACTGGCCCCATTGTATCCACCTCCCTAATGAACCTCTGGAAAGCTTTTTTCTCTGAAATTCAAGGCCCAGAAAAAAGTAGATCAAATGATGGCTACAGTTTTAGCATCGATGGCATGTGCATTCCTATGAGTGTGGGGTAGGAAATGTGTCTCTCAACAAGTAGGCTTCCCCTTTAACTTGGTCACCTCACATGTGAATTTGGTGTTCCCCATTATGTTCCAATGAGACAATTGGGTCATCCCAAATGTATGTTGCAAAATTCTTCCCAGGCAATTATCATAAGCATACCCAATCTCTTCCTTCAGTTTCAATGGGAAACATTTCTCCTATTGACATCACTAAAACAATCGCCCCATTGTGTGAGGAACAGCTCCACACCCATAGCGATCTGCCCTGCAGATTTCAACAGTGTGACTTCATCATTTTATATGCTCTTTTCAAAGACAGACAAAAGCAATAGGGGGTAAAAAGTCATAATATTCACCATTTTGTACTTTTCTGTAAATTTATGGGCTGAAAAATACAATGCCACAAGATAAATCTGCTTTCATAACAGAAGAGAAATCTACATAAAACCAGATAAATCCCTTTCCAAGGGAACAAATTCTTTCATACTTAGCTATAATCCTGTCAAACTTAAAAATGTCATTCTGATATTTTTCTTTCATTTCTTCTTGAGAAATATTAATTAACAAAAAGCATTTAGCATCAACTAACACCTATATTCACTCACTAATCATATGACACTGTACTAATGAAAATCCAGAAAATGTCTTTAATTGTAAAATAAAGGAGGAAGTCATTGGGTCATTTAGAAAGCACAAGAAAAGCACATATAGCACTGTGCTGATGTACAGAAAGCTACACGAAGTTGTTAGGCCACAACTGTTAAAGAGGAAAACACCCTGGTGAGTATCCAAAGTTTAATAATTAACAAAGCTAGAAGCCGGAAAGCTCAGCAGGAATGATACAGCAGGAATGATAGCTCCTTCCAACATCCACCAAGATTCTTTAAGATATCCAAACATCAGTTGTACAAAACTAGGTTGACAACATGAAAGCTCTCACTTGCTAGGTTTGCTGTAATTCTGCAGGCACCGAACACACAAATCTGTAGGCTAAAACACTCTTGTGGGGCAGTTTCAGCACAGAGGTCTAGACTAATAAAAAGAATTAGATGATGAACAAATAAAAGGGACAGCAAGGACAGAGGTCCCAGATGAAACATGGCTGCAGTGTTTCTCCAGAAAACAACTCTAGGAGGAACATTTACCATTTACCATTATGCTGAAAACCATTTGACAAGCCTGAATTCCCCTTAAAAGCATATAAAAAATTATCTGTCTTAAAAAAGGATTCCAGTAGGATATCAAAAAAGTATAAAAAATGAAGGAATAAAAGTAAAATGATTTACACTGGGAAGACCTATCTACAAAAGATCCAAACTTAGTGTTTAATATGCTAAATGAAATTATAAACAATCAGCCTTGGAATACTTAGGAACAACAAGAAAAAAACCCCACTCATTGCAGAAATAAAGAAGTAGAAAATTAACAGATCTTCTCACTCTTGAGAAGAAATACAAAGTTGAAAGTAAGAAGATTCTAAACAAATAAAAACAAAGTAAAAATAATAATTAAACATCCATCTAAAAGGGAATAACCTCTGAAAATACTAATATAGATAATACAAGATTAAATAAAAGGGTTAAAATTACAAACTAAAAAATCTCTTTATATACCTCAGAATATAAATGTGGCCCCAAATGTGGCCACTATGAACTAATCTTTAATAAAACAGTTGAGTCCATGGCTCTCAAACTGTGGGTCACTACCCTTCTGGGGATCCAATGACCTATTCATAAGGCTTGCATATAAGATATCCTACATATTAGATATTCATATTACAATTCTTAACAGTAGCAAAATTATAGTTATGAAGTGGCAAGTAAATAATTTTATGGTAGGAAAGTAATTTTATGGTTATGAGAGACTGACAGCATTAGAAAGGTTGAGAAACACTACCCAAGAGGAATGGACTGGAACGGGAATCATGCTTCAGTCACACTGTTGAGAGAATGAAGGATCTTGGGGAAGAGGAAACAGCAATATTAGGTTCGAATACTTTGTGGGCTTTGTCAAGGAAGACACTTTTATACCACAAAAATTTGTGACTGCTAATCCTATTCAGTCTGTGAGTACTTACATTTAATTCTTTTCTTAGCACTTCCTTGAGAAGATACCCTAAAGATTCTTCATCTTTTGTGTTCACAACCACACAAACCTCTTGTGAAATTTTCTCTAAAATTAAAAAAAGAAAAACTTTTTTAAACTTTATCATTCAAAGAAAACAGACAGAAGCCTTATTATTCAAAAACTTATGCTTGCTTGATTTCCATCACCCTTGAATAAGACAAGGGAGAGTCTAGCTCCAGGCCAGGTAGAGAAATCTGAGCTACATGCTAAGACATCCTTGATTCCATGTACCAGGCAGGTCAATGCATCCATACATTAAACTATCAAGCACATAAGTTAAGAAGTGAAACATCTTAGTTTACATTTTACAAGGAGTGACTAAAAGTTAACAGTTACTTATATGACTACTGCCACCCTTTCTTGTTCATGAGGAGTCTCCCTGACTCAGATATTCCCACTTACAAGTAGATATTTCCTAAGCCATACCCAGACTTTTCTTGGCAACCATCTAGATTGTCAATTGAATACAGCTCGGTTTCTGTTTGGATTCTTAACACAGCAAATGGAAATGTTGAATTTTCCTCCACGTGTTAGTTTATTTGAGATAGCTTCAAAGTCAAAATGTAAACCATGTGACATGGTGGCATTCACCTTTGAACTTTCTGTGCATTTTTCCAAAAGACATGAAGTCCCCTATAAGCAATCTGAGATTCCAAGGAACATCACTACAGCTGTCTTGAAATAAGACAAAAAAAAAAAAAAACCTCTAATTTGAAATAGTATTTCTCAAACAAAGCTGAATTGGTCAACATTTGACCTTGCTGCATCACTCATGGGTAGCTTATGTAATATGTTTTTTACAAGAATTAATCAATTATTAATCTTCTCAAGCAAAGTTAGAAGAAAGGACAGTTAAAATAATATAATCTGTTAATAATACTCCTGTTATTAACTCCCAGTTTACCCATTACCCTGTTGTTCACAAAGCAATAGTAATGTAGACAACAGGGTGACCATAAAGGGAAAAATATGTACACGGAAGTCAGAGGCCCTTAATGCAGAGAAGGGGACTGAATTCATAAGATCCCAGGGTTCCAGTAGAAAAGGGATATAAATCCAAAATTATTCTATTTACAGACCTGTAGGTACCTGAGAGGACCAACGAGGGGACAGGATAGAGGAAAGAGCATGGAGCACTTAGTGAACCTTCGAACATTCTCAGGTTCTTTCACTGTTACTATCCCATTTCATGTCTCAATGTAAGTATGGATTATAACCTACATGTTATGATGCCTGTTTTTACTTCAGAATATTTATATAAGGATGCTCATAAAGATCACACCTTCCTAGAGTGCTACCATCCTTGTAATAGATGCTAGAAAAAGCTGTTCACACGCTCTTTGCTCAGACCCTTCAGTCAAGAAAACTAAGCATATGTAAACAAAGTAATTCCAATAGATTGAGATTGACAGAATCCCTTTCTGAATATGGATCTGCCACACTAAGCTATCCTGCCTTTACATCACCTCAACTCTCAGGAATCCATTCACTTACTTGCTAAGGGTCTCTAATTCCCCAAAGTCAATAGATACACAACCATAATAAAATCCAGTGTGATGAAGAATGGACACAAAGGAGCCAGCCTGTAAGTGGTGTGGAACATCACCAAGTTATGAAATATAGACTGCTGACAAAATAGATGATTCTGTATAATTAAATGAGATTAGGACTTACCCTGGAAAGATGAGTGGGTTTTGCTTAGGAGTGGAAACAGGGAATTTGAAGGAATTCATAGAGATAAAAATGGAAGTATGATAAAATAGGTTGAGGTAAGCAAAGCACCCATTGTTCTCCCCCTCTGTCCTTCTCCTCACACATTATTATTGGATTAGGGAGAAACCTGGTACTAGAGAAATTCTCAGGAATCCCCAGATAAGACTCCTAGCAATAATAGAGAGGGGTCTAAATGGGCCTTCCCCTTTAATCAGATTAGTGACTACTCTAATTGTCATCATAGAACCTACATCCAGTAACTGACGGAAGCAGATACAGAGATTCACACCAAGCACAGGCTGACTTCCTGGAGTTCAGTTGAAGAGAGGTAGGAGGAATCATATGAATAAGGGGGTCAGGGCCATGATGGGGAAAACCACAGGGGCAGCTGACCAAAGCTAGTGGGTGCTCATGGACAATGGACTGACAGCTGTGGAACCTGCATGGAAAGGAACTAGATACTCTGAATTTGGGTGACAGTTATGTGACTTAATCTGTTGTGGGGATCCATGACAGTGGCACCAGGACATATCATGGGTGCATGAACTGGCTTTTCTGGAGCACCTTCCCTATGGCAGGATACCTTGCTCAGCCTTGATAAAGAGGGGAGGGGCTTATTCCTCAGGCAACTTGGTGTGCCAGACTTTGTTGACTCCCCAAGAAGACCTTATCCCCTAAGAGGAGTGGAAGGGGTAGGAAGTGGGGAGGCTTCCTCCAATTAGTCTTTTGAAATGAAGTCAACACAACTGATATTCATAAACTTAAATGTTTACAAGGAAATATGTCTCTCCAGCATCCTTGAAAATGCCTAGAAGTATTCCTGAATGTTTCTAATGCACAAAAAGTTGAATTTATGACTACAAAATAACCTGCCAAAATCAATGTGTCAGCACCACATTTTTGAAAAATGATAAACTACCGATAATTAAGAATTGTTTCAAGTAAAAAAGTAACAAATTATTCCTTGTTTTATTATATATCCCTATGCAAACACACCCCCTCTGCTCAAAGTAGGTTACTAGTACCAAAACTAGTAATTTACTATCCAGAAGTTTTCTACCACTTTAAAACAAAAGTATACTAAAAATGAATTTAACTACATTTGGCATTTATCTTAGACTGTGTTTCAGCTATTATAAATGTAGAACTTTTACTTAGGAATCTTTCATTGCCATGTAAATTTTCCAATCAATTTCCATAAAATAGCAAGTCTTTCCATAATCATGGTTCAGTCCCCAATTTATTGATATCTTCCTTAATTATTCCTACCTAACAGTAATTTATAGCATCTAGCCAGAATCATTTTACTGTTTGTTTTCACTTGTTCATTGGTAACACTGTCAATTGACATTCTAATTTTATTTTGTATTTCAGTGAAAAATTATTTTTATATGATCTCCCAGTAGTTTTGTTAAGTTTATTAATAAGCTTTAGTCTTACATGCATACATATATAATGTAAATATAGGATGGTTACAGTCTTTTCTTGTTGCCAAATCATAATTACGTCTGATAACTTTAAGTGGAATTTTATATTCACTAAGTCCTGCTGTATTTATAATGAACTAAATTATTTAGAGGTGAGAGTGCATTTGTCTACTCTCTAGAAAACTGTATAAAACTGTTATCATTTCTGTAATTTTTAGAGTTCATGCATACAGTTGCTGTTTTAAATTATGAGTATTCATATGCTCTATTCTGTATTAGCTTAATATGCTGTATTTGTCTAAAACTGTGTATATAAATTCTTATGACTGTTAGCAACAGTGTTCATAATGACTTCAGTGTTCACAGGAATTTAATGTTCTTTTTTATTTGGTGATAATTACTTAAGCCTTTAGTATTTGTCCTGATTACACTTGCCTTGCCAAAGTACTATCCATTGTAGTAGCATTTTCCCAGAAAAGTAGTTGGCATTCAAGTGTTATGTAGCAATACAAATGCATACGCCTAATCCATCACCCACTTAGCACACAGTTAGGTGGATAGGGAATGAACAACTCATAAGGAAATAATAAAGCAAATGAAACAAAGAGTTATCTTGTCAGGGATCTGTGAAACCAGGTAAAAGATGCATGGGAGTTATATGTGAGGTTATATCACCACTTAAGCTTGAAAACATTTTAGAATAAAAGTGTCCTCCCTGTCAGATCTACATGACCCCAACTGGATGGCATTCCCCTACATATGATATTGTGGTGGAGGGGTTGGGAGGGGAGGGTGTTTAGAGTGCATGGGAGAGGGCAGAGAGGGCAAAAGGAAGGGAAGGAGGGAGGGAGGGCTGGAGGGGAGGGAGGGAGGGAGGGAGAGGGAACTGGGATCGACATGTAAAATAATAAAAAAAAAAAAAAAAAAAAAAAAAAAAAAAACGCTTTGACTCCAAAATTTAAGTTGAAGAACAAGTTACTGGGGAAAAGTATTTCTATTTTTGTTTCCACAGAAAATGAAAAGATGTGGATTCCTTCCAGACTAATGTGGTTTGATCACGCCAGACCGCCTGAAACAGAGTACAAGCTGATCCTACATTCTAAACAACAGGACAAAACAGCCCTGCAGACTACAGCTAGGATATCTGAATCTTCTTCGAATCCCCCAAGACAGCGTCCCTTACCAGCAGGAAGTAGTTTGGAAAGAATGATGCCCAAATTCCCAAATATTGTGTATAAATGTTTGTTTTCATTTAATTGGACTTTGTTATATAAAATTAAATAAAAATAAATAAATAAATAAATAAATAAAAGAATAAAAGTGTCCTCACAAAACTAATAAGATACAAAAAAACATTAAAATATATTAATAGCAAAAGAAATTAAAATTCCCATAATTACCCAATAAAGGTCATGAAAACAAAGCCTAAGTGAGGATGATCTAGACCTGGAGCCAAGAGACAATGATGAATGGTGGTACTTCTATGTGGTTAGCTCGTATAATAAAGTTCCCACCATGTGTATTACAATGGTCTGAGATACACCAGCTCACCAGCTGTCTTCTATTTTCTATGGGCCATACATAAATATCCTCTATTAAAAATGGCAATGTTGCAATTGGTTTCTACTCCAAGATCAGACTATTAAAAAATCACCAATTGTCTCTTCTACCTCAATTCTGTGTGGTTTAATATTAGAAGTCACCAGTAGTGCTCATTTCTACCTTCATACTCTTCAAAGGCACAGATTTAGTAACTACTCAAGAGTTTCTAGCCAGAATTTTGACATTCCCAAGTGACCTAAAATACAGCAAGATTGGAATCCCTGCTTAGCTGACACTAACTTGGGATAAGTGGGCAATTATGAAAGATTCCCCTCCTTAAGATTATGCAAATTGCCTACCATT